ATTTTTCTTTAAATTATTATTATTACTTTTTTATCTGATTTTTCAATTTGATTCACTGTATGTTATCGACAAAGCTTAATTCATTCAAATACCAGTTTTTGTAAAAAATTTATGACCTTACTGTTATTGGTAGGGGACCCTTGGCAGAACAAAATTCTCTCTCTCCCTCTCTCTCTCTCTCTCTCTCTCTCTCTCTCTCTCTCTCTCTCTCTCTCTCTCTTAATTAATTAATTAATTAAATGAGATCTCTCTTAAGTAATTCTTTTTTTAGTTAAAGAGGCAAAAGTGTTTCCAAATTAACCGACTGAAATGCAAAACTGTAGAGTCATTTAAAAAATCTATATAGAGCAATCTACTTTCTAGATATGTATAAAAACGACAGATTAAATAGTTTAAAAGTTGTAAATTAAATTCGGTAAATAAAATTTTCAAAAATGTCTCTTCAAATGAATGTAAACATATATAGTTTAAGTTTAAAAATATCTTATTTTAATTATAAAGCAGCGGCTTATCTAGCCGAAGATCGTGGGTTCGAATCCCGCTCGTGACACTGACTTTTTATCCTAACTAAAAATCTTAATTAATTGAATTGTATTTTACTTTAGATGAAAGAGTTGGTCCTGGAGACCAAATCTTGAGCTATGTATCTATAAATAAAACTGAAATCATTCAATCTCTCACTCACACTCCAAGTCTCTACCTCTTTCTCTCTCTCTCACTCTCTCTCACACTCACTCTCTCACTCATTCTCACCTTTTAGTCCGCCCATTCTTGCTTGTTGTATAGAAATCCCAAATAATTTTAATTGCACGTTTGTCATTTAGAATGTCAACATTTCGGCAGAAGTTTCAGAAAGCTTATAGATTGAATGAAGTACGAAGATAAAACTATTCTTAAAAAGTTATCTAAAGTCTACACTGACACACATATCTCCATTTTAAAACAGATTATCTTAATAAAAATTATTTATTAATTTGAATGAAATTACAGATTTCATGTGCTAATTAATGTTTGCACAGAAATGATGGTGATGTTATGAAAGCTAAAGTTTAGTAGAAATTAATTTTTTTAAACGTTAAATCTAGGCAAATTATTATTTTTATTCGGACTCTTTCCTATTTAAAGCCTTTTGCATAAATAAAAAATAATTTCAAATAAATTAAATTATCCCACAAACGCTGGAATATTTGAAATTTGAAGATGGATATAATTAGAACTGTTAAGCAAAAATAACACATAGCCAGAACTACTAATATATTTTTACGTTTGATCAACTTTTTTGAGAACTTGGTTATTTTAGAATTTTCCTTCTTGATTCTCTTTGAATCAAGCACCGTCGATAATTAAACTAGAGTGAAATTTTGATGTATGCCGTAGAAATATCGCGATAATCAAAAAACAATAATATTCACACATAGTAAAAAAACGTGAAGCTGTTGATGTTAATGTTCCACGCCAAATACCGGATTTGGGAGAAAGTGTTTTAACTTTATTTTAGCCTAGAATTCAAAGCATCCCGGCGTGATTCACCAGGAGCGGCTTCGTGTCTGGCCGGCAGTTTGAATACCTGCATAATCTCGATTATCGCCGTGGATGATTACATCTTCCAGTCGTTAATATATTCTTCCCTTTCGTTCCTGGAAAAGTCAAATTGCTCATCTCTGCTCGGTCTGACCCACTTGGAAGAGTTTTTAGAAAAATTTCTAATTAGCCGGGTAAAAAGCATCATCGTAGCGGCTCCGAAGAAATTCAATCTGACGATAGTAGGATCCATTCTTATAACTCTATTTTATCCCTGAGAACTCTTTTTTTTAAACCCGTCCATTAGCCCTTAATTTTCATTTCCCTGAGGATCAAAAATAATAAAAAGGCTTCTTGTCAAATTGGATTTGCCTGGATCTTAGATTTTAGAAATGACTTTTTAAAATATAAAGCAGAAACATTCTAAAATAAGAAGTGCTTCGCTATGTAATGAGCGTCCACTTTTTTTCAGGAGCTTTTATTGTGTGCAACAAAAATTAATTTCCACCACCCAAAGCATTCCGGTTCATAATTTTTATTATCTTTCAACAATCAATCACAGCCTTTTCTCAGATCGATTCGTTATTATCAAAATAGTAGTAGAAAATCAAACGATTTTACACTGGATCAAAGTAAATCTTTTTTTTAAACCCTGCTAATAATCAATTATTAACTTTAACTGATAACTGAGTATAAATCTGCCGAAAAGCATTGTTTTGTGCATTGCTAACCATTTTACAATTACTGAGGATTTTCGGCTTAAAATTTTAAACAAGCAAACAACGGCGAGGATTGACGGACCTGCGGTTTACCTTCCAGCGCATAGCAATTTGCTGGGATGATCAAGTCCAACGGGGTTTTTTCCTTAAAAATGCCCAAATCATTTTGAACACTAGAAAGAAAACCTCATGAATTAATCGCAAAGTGTTCCCAGCTTCGTGGATCGTTACATTCCATAATTTATGCTAAACAAATGCAGTTCTGAATGTTAAAATGGAAATATGATTTTTTAATAACGTCAGAAATAATTTCATTACAATATAACCAGCGAGATCAGGCGAATCCGACAATTGAAAATTATTTGAAATTGCCTCTCATCTCTCTCCCTTTCTCTCTCTCTCTCTCTCTCTCTCTCTCTCTCTCTCTCTCTCTCTCTCTCTCTCTCATTCACTCATACATCACACGCACTTCCTTCCACTCTTTCTCTATCTATTTCTCTATATTTCTCTCTCTCTCTCTCTAACTTTCTTTCTGTACATCATTTCCTCTTTATTGTTACATCTATCTAACTTTCCCTTCTTTCTTCTCCCTCTCGTATTTACTTGTTAATTTATTTTATTTTACAGTAGAAAACACACTCACTGATTACATATCTGCCCATACTTTCCTCTCTCTCACTCTTACTCACTTACTTCCTCCCACTCTTTCTCTCTCTATTTTTTCGTTTATCCCTCTATCTCCCTCTTACACTTTCTTTCTCTATCGCACTCCCTCTTTTTTGCTACATCTATCTAATTTTTTCTTCTTTCTTCTCCCTCTCTTATTTGCCTGTACCTTTTTTTATTGTACACTAGAAAACACACTCACTGATTACATATCTGCCTATCCTTTCTCTCTCTTTCTTTCTCCTTATCTTTCTTACTCTATCCCACTCCCCTTTTTGCTACACCTATCTAACATTTCCTTCTTTCTTCCCTCTCCTTACCTGTTCATCTCTTTGCTTTTTTATTGTTTTTTAACACTAGAAAACACACTCATTGACTTAATATCTGCCCATACTCTCTCTCTCTCTCTCTCTCTCTCTCTCTCTCTCTCTCTCTCTCTCCCCCTCTCCTTTCGCCTCGACAAACAGTTGTAAGTGTACAGCATGAATATTTACTGTTTTACTGTTGAATATTTTACAGGAAACATTTTACAGACCCATCACATGTAAAGATGGTGGAGTGACATAAATCAAAACTGCCCTAAATAAGGAAGAATATGCTGACCAGAGATGATTACTAAATCATTATTTTTACCGTTTCCAAAAAATTTTATTCTAATATGTTGATCGCTTCCCTTCATATAGAAGTACATAATCTTTGATTTTTTTACGATTATTTTTATGTTATCTACATGTTCATTGTGAATGTGGAATACAGACTTTTGTGAGTAATTGATCTGAAAAAATGGAATTTCGCCATGACTTGCTTTCTCAGAAATAGAACAGTCTGTTGAATATAGTATTCCTACTGGGAGATTGCTTTGTCCGAAAAAGGAAAAATAAAGTAGTGGCGAAGACCCGATCTATCTTCCTTTTAGCATTACAATTCACAATATTCAGTCTCTGTTATTTTTTACTTCTTCTCAGTGTTCGCGTTGTACAAACAAAACTTTATATAAAGTTAAAGTTTAGCTTTTATTTCAAGTTAGTTTCCAGCTTTAATATTTCTTCTAAAACTTTATCTACTTTATTATGCAAGTCTGAAATTCCTTGGAACCTATTGAAAGTAACTACTGGCATTTTATAAAATTATATTATTTTTTGAGGATCTTTGGGCATTAAAACAGATATTTATCAAATGTACAACTCCGATGCTTTTTTCTAATAAGTTCAGCCAAAAGTTTCATCTTTCAGACTCTTTTTATTATATTATAAAGAGAAAAGTACTTTCCAGCTAAACAAACTTATTAATTAAAATTTTGAGTTTATTAAACCATATAATTTTTTCTAAACTCCATGAAAAAGAAATGAATGATAAAACCATGAATGTCAGAAAAAATTTAAACTAAAAATAACATAGGCAGAACTACTAAAATGAATTAAGGTTTGATCATCATTTTGAAGGACTTGGAAATTTTAGGATTATTTTTCTTGATTCTACTTGAATATTGAGATCACCTCTATCAATTTAAGTTGGTTCTTCAAACATCGGTGTGAACTTATCTACCATAATTCCTCTAAGAGATAACTCTGCTGAACGCTGCTCACCCGGAGACTCCTGTGCGGGAGTACCTCTTCCACATTTTGGCTGATTGCCCCATTCTTTCACTGTTTCGTGTTCTCTTTTTTATTAGTTTTATTATGCTTGACCCACTATTAGTTTTGGGAACATGCTTGACAACAAAACTTAATTCCCGGGATTGTTCAGGCCTGGTTGGTTTTGCAAGAGAACTTAAAAATAATAAAAAAGTATGAATGTCAGGAAAAATTGAACTTAAATTATGGTTTTTTTAGAATATAAAAAAGATCCTCAAGCTTGATCGTATCCGATCTTCCGGTCGTTTCGCCCGTCGTAATCAATATTTTTTCCAATAATAATCCTTTAAGTTTAAGATATTTATATATAATTTTTAATATAACGTAGAGAGGTAACTTATAGGAATAATTTGAGAAATAAGAGAAAGGAATAATTTAAGTTTTGGTTACGATGGGTAAAAAAAATATTTAGGTAGATAAATTAATTATAATTAATTAAAATAATAAATATAAATAAGTTATATAAAAAAACAAGTTTTTTATGGAGTGAGGAGGAAGCGGAGGAACGATTTTGTCACATATTACGATTTTTGGTCGTAATAGCTAGGCGAGAGGAATTCTTCGGTGTTTTGTGATTTGGACGGCTTCGGGCTTGACTGGCTTGTTGATTTGTAATAATCTTTGGCCGAGCTCGTCTGATAATCTTCCATGTCGTCGTACGGCTGGAATCCGAAGGTCTGCTTTGGCGGCTGGAAACCCTTGTTGGTCGGCTCGTCGTTCGAAGAATGATTGTAGACCGGCCTGTGGTTGGACAGGTCGTCGTAGACCTTTCCCTTGTGCTTTTCCGGGTAAGAGTGAGTATTGGTGAAAGTGTACGACGTCTTTGCCTCTAGCTCACGATCTTGATGGTAGTCGCCCTGGAAAACGCTGACGTACGAAGTGGCCACGTCTTCTTTTTTGGGAGGCTCCGGTGATCCTTGGGTAGGGTGAGGGATACCGTAGGTCGTCGAGGTGATCTTGTACTGCTGCTGCTGTACATGATGATTCTTTGGAGCTCCGTAGCTGTCAGTTACAACTTGAGGATTTATCGGTTTGTAGCTGTCGTATTTAGTCGGAACGTTCTTAATGTAGGTTTTGTTGTGCTTGGGTTTCGATGTCCTGTTCTTCCTCGGTGGTCCGAAATTTGGAGGAGGCGGACCGATTCTTTTAGCTTTCCAGCCGGGTGGAGGTGCCGCCGGGCTTCTTTTGTTCGGAGGCGGTCCATATCTGAAAATTATTCGTTATTAATTAAAATTGAAGTATAAAATTAATTCATGTTTTACCTTATTTTGTTAACGGGCTGATTCCTGTGATTCCTGTTGATAGGGAGGTTACCATGGTGTGGGATGTACTTGAGTGGGACGTAGACCCTCTTCACTGGGCTCCTGTAGCGCACCACTTGACCAGGCTGACCAGATCTGTGAACTCGTACCTGTGTCGGCCAGGGATGACGATTGCTTTGATGGTGAGGGTAGTTGACTACACATTCGACGACGACCGCCAACGCGGCTGCGCCTATCAGCAGTTTCAATCCCTAAAACGAAAACATTAAATTAATCACTGAACTTTTGTAGTTCTGTTGGTATTACGATCTGTTATGGGCCTATCACACTTTTCAATGTACAAGCAATTCGCAGAATAAGCAATAAATAAACCAAGACTTGTTCAGTATTGATGTTTGAAAAAAAATTGTGGTTGGCCCAGTCGGTGTCGAACTGGATAATAAAGGGAATTAAAGATAAAACCACAAACCATATCAGAGGCAAAACCACCTATAACCGAACCATTTATTCTAGTTAATGAGATGGAAAACCTGCAAAACAGAACTTGATGTAATTACGAGCGTTTATCAATTGAGGCAAAAGTTCTGCTTGTTAATAATAATAATATGAAAAATAGAACCGAGGGTACGTTTCGTGGTTCATAAAATTCAGCGTGTCGTCACTATTGAAGTTTTTGCTTGTTCACTCTTTTAAATCTACAAATTTGGCGCATTATCGACAATTGTGAGATGGTAGTAGGTCTGTGAACTCGTTTTATATACAGACTCCCCCCCCCAAAAAAAAATAAAAAAATAAGAAAAAATAAAACAATGAATTAGCAACTTGATCTGTACAATTTGCAAAATGCCATCCCTTAAAATATTCACGCAGTTCCTAGAGGCCATCATAATAATTATGATATTTTATTTCTTAATGTCTAACCACCAAAATAATAACGAAGAAACAAAGGTGACTAACACACACGGAATAAAAATAGGGGGACCAGGATGATCAGGGTATCGGTCATAAGGATTGATCTTACCTCAAAAATGATCAGGATGATTTTCATTTTTCTAACCCGGTAGATGGTTTAGTTGTTTTCTAGATTAAAGAAAAACCATTTGTTTTTTTTTTTAATAGAATCTAATTACGCCAAAGAATATTTTTTTGTAAAAGTATAGGCAAGATTTATATTGTGAGCTTTCTGCGTGTAGTCCGTGGAGATGACATTTGGTCGTTACCTATTCCTCGCGGAGTTGGTCTATCTGACATTATTCGGCATTTCGCCATCCAGCATGCCTGTGTGATTTCTGCGAAGTGAAGTCCCTTTTATTAAGTCGTCATCGGAGTTATCTTTGTTTGCCGATGCCATTGATGGATAAGGTCCAGGTTTTATTATTGTTATGGTGTAAAATATGTTGTTACTCTGTGTGTTTATGAAGTTTTTCGTGCCTCTGAGAGATGTCTTCTGTCAAGTCTCATTATAAGGTCGTGTACGGTACTTTTTTTTTAAACAAACAAAAAAAAACGGTACAGTTGTTACTCCTTCTTACGTCTTTCGGTGTGTACATGTTTTCGTTAAGGGTAAACTAGATACCTTCAGTCGTCGTCCTTATTGTGTTCGATATTTGTTCTTATTCGCTAGCACAGTTTTTGCATATTTTATGTGCGAATGACAAACCTAACCAGTAGAAATGATAAATGTTGGAGTGAGTGTGGTGTTCAATCCTTTTTTTAAAAGATAGTTCCAAATCACAGTAAGTTTTTTTGCAACGATCCGGATTTCGAGCCCTTCAGCTCATCATCAGGTTGAAGGACTTCTACAACCACGTCTCTCGACATGAATTGCCAAAGTGAACCCGCTGATACCTCCGCCAACGCGACATTCCAATTAGCAGCTGATTTTTTTAATGGCGCTCAATTTGAACGTGCGCAACGCGGAAATTATAACTCAAATAAATTATAATAGTAAATATTTAATATTATTAAATTACTATAAAAATAATAACAATTAAACTAATTAGTTTCATTATTTGGACGTTTCGTATTATTTATGTACATATTTAAAATGGGAGGTAGATCAAAATCTGTTATATTATTAATGCATTTATCACCATGTTCGATTTTACATTTTTTAATTTCAAATTTCTCAAACCAATCTAGTTCTTTCCCTTTGTTGAAACTATGTAACACTCTTGTATTTAAATTTGAACTTCAAGCTCCTGAAAAGCCAGGGTCTGAAGGATACAAACGGTTGCCCTTGAAAAAGCTTTGTGGTCTGGCAAAAAGCCTTAAGCTTAACGTGGATTTCTAGATATAAAAAAAGATGTACATTAGACCAATATTAGTCGCGGTGCGCAAGCCTTAAAGAGACATGTAGATACAGATTCTTGCAACTAGGAGAGGAAAAGCCGAAATCAAGATCCTACACTAACGAGCTGCTGACATGCTATGGAGATAGATTAACAACCAGTACCTTACACTTAAGAGTTGTACAAATACAGGATCACAATAGATCTACATAGGTCGAGGTGCAGAATGCTATGTGGCCCCATGTTTTATCCCTTTCCAGCGAGACCCAGACTGTTAAAACATTGAATTTTTCTCTACTTTTGTTGGCCCTGCTGGAAACCATATGAAACTATTTTCTTTCACAAAAATGGGTATCGGTGTAGTATATTCCTCACATCAAAAAATCGTATAATCCGTCTTTTCTTTTACTTTATGTTGAAACTATGTAACACTCTTGTATTTAAATTTGAACTTCGAGCTCCTTCTAAAAGTCAGCTTAAAGAAATGATACTAGCGAAAATGAAAAAAGAAATCGATTTATCAGTGTTGTAAACTAGCCAATTGTGTACACGTTTTGTTCTTTCCTTGTTATTGGAAAATAATCCTGACCTTTTTTTATTATGTATAAGGCAAAATCCAAAAGAAATTTTTTTTTAGAAAATCAGCTTCCCGGATGTTTTTGTCGTCAATTCACATTAGGGACGACTCAGCTTGTTTATACCGCGAATATACGACATATATGCAATAAAAATAAATAAATAAAAAGAAGAGGAGAATCTTTCGGGAATATTTGTACGGAATGCTCGGAATTCCACTTTTACCGGCGTTTCCGCATAATGGGCCGATAGGATCTCGGATGAAGAGGAGAGGATTATACGTTATCCGGCTATCCGATAGTTAAAAGAAGCATCCATGGAATGCTTATGCAGACCCAGGACCAGTTTGCATCGTGTCGAAGGGGATTTGGTCAGTTTGCCCGGCGGAAAACAACAAAAACCCCTCGCCGACTTTCTCCGACATTCGGAATATTGTTTTTTATTTTAACTGGGTCAGAAGAATTTGGCCGTCTGACAACATCAATAGGACGGCACGCCGTCGATGCGTCTATTTTCGGACGTAATTATATCTTTATTCTAAAAAGCTCTAGGCTAACAAGCCTGAACTTTCCTTTGTGGCGAATTCTAAAGCTCGCCATTCACCCGAGGTTAAAATAGACACGGTTTCACCCCGGGGAGTATGTACTTATTCTCTTGTTCACATTTTTAAAAAAAACTCGGCGAACAATGGGGAAGTGAATTTTTTTTCTATTCTTAGCCATTCTTCATAAATAGAACGTTGTTATTATTATTTTTTATGGGTGGGATGCGTTTTGTTGAGGCAGTACGCAGAGTCTCGCTATCGGGATCTATAGAATTACCTGACACAAAGGGTAATCATTTTAAAAAGAAGCTCACATCTTAAAATCAAGCACAAAGAAATCTCCTATTAACCCAGAAAATGTTGGTTTTTTTTGCAATCTCAGAGAAAGAATGCGTGCAAAATAAATAGCCTAAATAAAAATAAGACTAATGTATCTCTAAATAGGAATTTAAAACGGGAACCTAAACCAGTGATGGTGGCCACGTCAAAACTTGCTGCATCTATCCATTTGTGTCTTACCCACACTTTTATAATCAACAACTAGTAGCTGAAATTTTCAATACAACATCCTTAAAAATTGTATTTACTCTCTCTCTCTCTCTCTCTCTCTCTCTCTCTCTGTCTCTCTCTCTTTCTCTCTCTCTCTCTGTCTCTCTCTCTTTCTCTCTCTCTCTCTCTCTCATTCTCTCTCTCTCTCTCTCATTCTCTCTCTCTCTCTGAAATGTGTTTTATTTTTTGAATTCACGATGGCAGTATTGGCATTTAACCCTATAACACCTTGCATATATGTATATAAGATGTTAGTTTAATATTTTCTATAAATGTTTGTTTTTCTTTTGTTTACACTAAAAATATACTTACTGCCAAGATGACTGTATAAATTCTCTTTCTCCTTCCCTCCCACTATCTCTCTCTCTCTCTCCCTCTCTCTCGCTATCTCTCTCTTTCTCGCTCTCTCCCTCTTTCTCGCTCTCTCTCTCTCCGTCCCTCTCTCTCTCTCTCTCTCTCTCCCTGAAATATGTTTTATTTTTTGAATTCACCATGGCAGTATTGGCATTTAACCCAGCAACACCCTGTATGTATGTATATAAGATGTTAGTTTAATATTTTCTCTAAATGTTTGTTTTTCTTTTGTGTACACTAAAAATATACTCACTGCCAAGATGTCTGTATAAATTCTCTCTCCTCTTTGTCTCCCTTTCTCTCTCGCAGCCTCTCTCTTGCTCGCTCTCTCTCTCTCTCCTCTCTCTCACTCTCACTCTCTCTCTCTCTCTCTCTCTCTCTCTCTCTCTCTCTCTCTCTCTCTCTCAGAAGACACACATACACACGAATAAAATATAAATAAAGTTCAATTACATTTATTCATCAATTCAATTACATTTAAACATTAGCGATATTACTAATATTTCAAATTTGTATAAAATTTGGTTATTTTTTTCCCGATTGCCTCAGTTATTCAGTTTCAAAATTTTCTAAAGTTGAATGCTTTTCATTATAGGTGAAATTTACTATTTAATAAAAATAAATGATAAAAATTTAATAGAATTTCGTCCATGGACAATGGATGTTGGTTTATTGAAGTAATTTATGTTGATTTTTAAAATGAAAAATGGTTAAAAATGTAAATTTTTCCATGTTTGGCTTCACAACATTAAAATATATTTCAATTTTGTTTTTCTTCAATCTGTGCAAAAACGCGTGGAAAATTGTATTGAAATTTGAAATCGAAATCATGTTAATTATGTTGATAAATGTACGATATTTCTATTCTTTTGTAATTTCCAACCTTGGGCTCTTTATCATTTCTAAGTCAGTTTTAACAAGTTATGCCCGTTCATTT